TCTTTGAGTAGGATTAAGATATTCTATAGGCTTTAACAAAAATAAAATTAGTTCCCATTTTGATCTGAAAGACACGTGGCTTGCGAGCCGTCTTGATCGTTGATCTCTGATCACTGAGAGTTAGCGACACCTCCTTGAGGTAGCTACTCTTGAGCACTAAGTGCTGTCGATTCACTGAATCGTTAGGTCCCCTGGAACAGGGATCTGAAGCTATAAAGCTTGTTGACTCGTAAAGTCGTTATTTTTTTTAACTAAGTTGCTCGTAGAGCGTTAAGTCTTCCTCTGACTTAAGGAGCTGTGTAGCTCCGCTACATGTTCCGACTTGAACTAGATTCATTAGAACAAGCCATATCCATTGCGGAGCAGGAAGACTTCAGTCTGAGACAGGCTCGCGCCAGCTCGACATCATATCGTCAACCGAGACGATATGACAACGGAGGTCCAGAGCCGATGGAACTCTGTTATGTAGAGAGCGAGAAGGCTCGCTCTACAGGCTACAAGAAGTTGCAGAGATGCAACAGATGTCAAAAGACAGGACACTACGCTTAAGAGTGTAGTGCCCCTCGTCCAGTGTCTCGCAACACTGGGCGTATTGACCGTCCACCCATGAGAAAGGGGCAGGGACGAGGGTCCGCAGTTGGTGCAAAGACGCAACAACGGGATGGACCGTCAAAAAACGGACAGGATCAGTAGGTGCGGAGCACCCTACTGGTCCAGCAATGTCAAGAGAATTTGTGGGCCTCCTGATAAAGGTTGCTCCCAACACACAAATGTTGTGTGTTGCTACTCTAGGTAATGAGATCTCACTCATTACCTTGAAACTCGAAGTGACGAATAAGTTGTCCCTTCGAGCTCTAGTCGATTGTGGGGCGTCCAACAAATTTGTGCAACGCCAATCGCTAGAAGATGGTCACTTTAAGTTCAGTGCATGTGACACACCTCCTACGAGGATGACGGTACGTCTTGCGACAGCCGCATTCGCAACCGTCATGAAGCGTATAGTGAAGATCCACTATACGCTAGAAGATACCCAATATGACGATGACTTTATCGTATTGGATTTGGATGACAAATTTGATGTCATCCTTGGAATACCGTGGCTCAGAAGGTACGAACCACGGGTAAACTGGCAACATCGAACAGTAACGATGCCTGTCGCTTGTTCATCTGATGGCCATCTGATGAACGTTTTGGAGCGTCCACAAGCGTGTGGATGTACTACGAGTGAGTGCGATGGCCTCACTTGTGGTACGGTCGTTAGTACGACTGCACAAAACCTTAGTGTAACAAACGGTTACACTTCGGAGCAAAGTTCCGGCTGCTGTGAGGAAACACAGGCTGCGCCGAAGGTCCACCACTCGAATAAGTCGAGTGGACCGGGACAAAGATGTATCCCTAGAGGGGAACATCTAGAAGAGAAACAATCGATCGCTCAGGTTAAGCGAAACGATAATCCTAGATCGACTGGAGAGTCTTTCGTAGAGGATCTCGCTGTGGTTGCGCAACCACAGCTAGAGGAAGTAAAGGGAATAAGTCCCGATATTACAAACACGGCGGAAATAAGTTCCCCGAAACCCGAGGGAATAAGTCCCCGGGCAGCCGGAGGAATAAGTCCTTCGAGGCCTGAGGGAATAAGCCCCCAGGAAAGGACAGAGACATTGAATGTCATAGTCAACAACGGATCAAGTGTAGGCGCTTATACGTTTGATCTGATTGCGCCTCCGAAGTTAACTTCGGAGATCACTCAGTTGCCAACGCTCGAACATAAAAGGTTCTTGCTTGATCTGCGTAGTGGCAAAGTCAAGCAGATCTGCATACTCGTCGCTGACGACGAGCGTGTAGCCGACATAAGGTCGGCAACAGTGTTTACTGAGAACGAGAGAGTTCTCAGTAGTTCATCTATGGACGAGAGTGTCCTAGATGAAAAGACACGAGTTGAGCGATATGACTCCCAATCGTGGGAATCGCTCAAGACAAATCCTCTCTATGAAGATTTGGTTGAATTCAAGGATGTATTCCCTGAAACTGTTCCGTGCGAATTACCGAAGGATAAAGGTATTCGACACGAGGTCGAGCTTAAACCAGGCTCGAAGTACTGTGTCATGAAGCAGTGGCCACTGCCTCGTGAACAAGTACTTGCGATCGACAAGTTCTTTGCCGATCGTTTAGCAGCGGGCCATGTGAGGGAATCAACTTCCCCACATAGCTCTCCGACCTTCTGTGTGCGAAAAGCAACAGGAGGGTGGCGGATAGTGCACGCGTTCAACAAGTTGAGTGCTGCAACGGTACCGGCTCAGACGCCGATACCAAGGAAGGACGTAATCATTTATGGTATGTCAAAGAGTACCATCTTTTCGTCCATGGATTTGATGGATGGCTTCTATCAAATCCTTATGCGAGAACGGGATATACCCTATACCGCAGTGAGCACGCCTAGCGGCATGTCTGGGAATGGCTAGTAATGCCACAAGGGCTCAGTAATGCCCCTGCCACGTTCAACAGATGTGTATCACATCTGTTGAAACCAGTACGAGAATTCGCGCCGAGTTATTTCGATGACGTATTCATCCATAGTCGAGCTATGGATGGAAAGTCGGACGTTGAGGTTCACAGGTACCACGTCCGACAAGTTCTTACAATCATGCGAAAGCATCAATTGTATGCTAACCTCAAGAAGTGTATATTTGCAGCAAGCGAAATACCACTTCTTGGGTGCATCGTTGGTAAGAACGGTGTACGTCCTGATCCCGAAAAGATCAAGGCGATCACCGACTGGCCTGTGCCGGTCGATGTCAAAGGTCTTCGAAAATTCCCTGGGCTAGCGGCGTATTTGCATAAGTATTCACGCAATTACGCCGAGATGACTGTGCACCTCTCTCGTTTGTTGAAAAAGAACGAGAGGTGGTTATGGGACGCTGAATGTCAGCGCTCCTTTGAGGGTATCAAGCAGAGTTTGATACAATCCCCAGTCCTAGCAATAGCCGATCAGGACAGGCCATTTCATGTGGTCTGTGATGCCAGCGATTTCGCAATTGGCTGTGCATTAATGCAGTACGATCTTGAAGGCGTTGAACGCGTCGTCTGCTATCAGTCGCGTCAGCTGAAACCAGCTGAGCGGAACTATCCAGTGCATGACAAGGAACCCCTTGCCATGAAGTATGCACTCGCGAAGTTCAGAGTCTATCTATTAGGAGATAGACCCTTCATTGTTTACACTGACCATGCGTCATCACGCACGGCAGTAAACAGCCCGCACCTTTCACAACGAATGGCGCGGTGGTTGTCATTCTTTGCAGAATACAACTTTACGGTCGAGTACAAACCAGGACGACTTAATGTCGTCGCTGATGCACTCTCACGTCGTCCCGACTTTGAACCAGTCGTGAAACCCAACAGTGAGACAGTCACTGTTGCGGTTATGACGTCCTCAGTCCCATCTACAACGTTTTATGATGATTTGAGGCGGGCACACGCCCAAGATGGTGAGATTGTGAAGTTGTTGACACATCTCTCACAGCCATTTTGAGAATCGTTGAAACAGTTATCGTCTGCGTATCGATCTGCATCAGATCGATTGACACATCTCTCTCAACCATCTCGAGAATCGTTGAAACAGTGATCGTCTACGTATCGATCTGCATCAGATCGATGCACTACTCGCAACGGGTTACTGTATTATACAGCCGTTTCTGGTGACACACCACGTGTTGTCATTCCAGATGATACTGATCTACGTTTGCGGATCATGTTCGAGTATTACGATGCTCCTATAGGAGGACATCGTGGCCGCAAGAAAAAATATATCACGGTTAGTCGAGACTTTTACTGGCCCCGCCAGTATCAGTTTGTGCAAAAGTATGTTCACGCCTGCAAAGTCTGTCAACGAGTGAAGTCAAGTCCTTCACTGCGTGCACCTTTGCAGCCTTTACCGGTTCCGGCTAAGTGCTGGGAATCCACCTCAATGAATTTCTTCTTCGGGTTATCCAAAGACGCACGCAAGAATACGGGTATTCTCGTATTTGTTGACAGATTCAGCAAAATGGTACACCTTGTGGCTGTACGGGAGTCAATCACGGCAAGTGGCTATGCTTGTGTCTTTATCGACACCATCTTCCGACTTCATGGGTTGTCCCGTGAACTCGTATCAGACAGAGATCCACGCTTCACTGCTGAATTCTGGCGCTCCGTGTTCAAATCACTTGGAACGCGCTTGAAGATGTCTACATCTGATCATCCAGAGTCAGATGGTCAGACGGAACGTCAAAAGCAAAACGCTGACAAGAATGGAAGGGCAAACACTCTTTTATTTAATAAAGGTGACTTAGTCCTACTGTCTACGGTTAATATACCAAAGCATGTAGTGACTAACTTGGGTGGTAGTTTACTACTACCCAAGTACATCGGTCCATTTCGTGTATTGCACCGCCTAGGCAATGCATACACGATCGAGTTGCCACGTAAGATGCGAACGCATCCCGATTTGGTCGGCTTAAGCCGTACCATCAGTATGCTGCTTCTTCCGATGAAGAACGCCCTTGCGCTCAAGCATCTCGCAGAGAGCCTTGTGCTCCCGATGGTGGGCATCAACAAGGGTCTGAAGAGCAGTTATCTCATCCCGAGACCGATCAACAATCCCACGAGCTACCCTTAGCTCGTCACGAAGAGATGTCAGAGATCTCTCGTTATCAAGCTGAGCAAAGGCAAACTCAGCTCGATGCTTCAAGGCAGTGTTGTACAAGACTCCATCGCCGAAGCGGTGGATAAGCAAAAGCAAAACACTGACAAGAATGGAAGGGCAAACACTCTTTTATTTAATATAGGTGACTTAGTCCTACTGTCTACGGTTAATCTACCAAAGTATGTAGTGACTAGCTTGGGTGGTAGTTTACTACTACCCAAGTACATCGGCCCATTTCGTGTATTGCACTGCCTAGGCAATGCATACACGATCGAGTTGCCACGTAAGATGCGAACGCATCCCACGTTTTACGTTGGTCGGCTTAAGCCGTACCATCAGTACGCTGCTTCTTCCGATGAAGAACGCCCTTGCGCTCAAGCATCTCGCAGAGAGCCTTGTGCTCCCGATGGTGGGCATCGACAAGGGTCTGGAGAGTAGTTATCTCATCCCGAGACCGATCAACAATCCCACGAGCTACCCTTAGCTCGTCACGAAGAGATGTCAGAGCTCTCTCGTTATCAAGCTGAGCAAAGGCAAACTCAGCTCGATGCTTCGAGGCAGTGTCCGCCATTTGGAGACGCCTATTCCGCTCATGCTCGAGATCGTCGCGTAACCCTTGCGTTACGCGATCAAAGAAGCTCTCGGGAACACACGGATCCCCACGATATCGTGTGGAGAGCGTCTTTCCTCCTCCTCCACCTCCATTAGAGGACTCTCGCGGTGGCCAGCGCTATCTAGTTGAGCAGCTGTTGAACCACCGCGATGTGAACGGACGTCGGACGAGTTATCTCGTCCGGTGGCGCGGCTATCCCCCGTCCTGGGATTCTTGGGAGCCCCGCTCCCAACTGATGGTTGACGTACTGGGTCTGGTTGAGCAGTACGACGCGGCACATCCCTGTGCCGCAGAAGGACCGCCGGAGAAAGTCTTCCCGGCACGGTCGTAAAGGGATTTCAGGTTGTCAATCCCTTCGTACGTCTCACTGTGGATACGAGATGCGTACGCGCCACCACGGGCTGGTAAGGAGGTAAGCCTCCTTAGGTGCTCGTGCAGAGTTGTTCACACAACATGGGCACGGGTCTCCCCAAGAGAGGCAGGGTAATCCTTTCTCCCTTGATAGACGATGCAGCTTGTAGCGTGCACCTGTCGGGGTTCGCTTTTCAAACTTATCACGAGCTTTGATAAGTTTGTCGTTCCAAGCGTCACGACCTACATCCTCGAGGTTATGGATGTAGGCGTTCCACGCCTGAAGTAGTGAGGGACCATCACGTTTGTGATTTCCCCTGTACCATCGATGTCTAAAGAAAGCATCGATGAAGAATTCATTCTCAGCGCGATAGTTTTCCGCGCTGGGTTCAAGGTGATGGATCCTTGACGAATCGAACAACCGTGTTCGATAACGATCACTCGTCGTCGCCGACAAGTGATCCATGACAGATTTAGGAGGCATCCATGCCTTCTTCTCAGGAGCGAGACGCAACACGCTGCGGTCCCGCTCTTCCTGCGACGTGCCGACAGAAGTACTGGCACCTCGCTGTGAAGTGGTGTCCATAGAAGAACCGACACCACTGTTAGCGCCCGAGTCTCGCGACCTCGAGCGCCTTCGCTTCGGCGATGGTTCGTCTGATTCGTCAGACGAACCAAAGATACTACGACGCATAGAATCATCCATGCCACGCTTGACAGGCGGCTTAGATTCGATCGCCGTCGATACGGATCCGTCTTCCGTATCAGGAGAGCATGAGACTCCGAGCTCATACTCTGTGAAGACATGAGTGTCTTCATGACCAGCGCCTGCATAACCAGGTGACACAGGCTGATTCGCTTCAGCAACCGATGAGACATCAGTTGCTGCAGTTTCTGCTTCGGCGGCCTTGCTCGCGCATCGCATGGGCTTGTTAACCATGCGATGAACTGTTGGAAAGTGGACTCGGACCAACAAGTGCAAACCCTGTCCCAAATGATTTGAGACGAGCATCCAATTAGTCAATCAGTCACTAAAGTGACTGATGGTTAAGGGGGGGGTGATGTAACGGGGTGAATCGTTACATAACAATTTATAATAAATTGTTAATAGAATATAACTGTAAGAGTTACATTCTCAGAATATTGTCATAAGGACAAACATTCTGCAGCACTTACGAGTAGTTCCTAATTGGTTGATATAGGCCATTATACTAACCAACGAAGACGCGCCACGACAGACGCACGCATTGAGTGGTGAGCAGATAGTTGATTTACACATTTGTATTTATACATAGTTAGATGAAGATAAATAGTGGTTTATTGACAGACATTAACTATTATAAATACAGTTCCACTTTTTACTTTAACCAAGTACTCGCCTCTTCTTACCGTCTTCCTCTGCACGTACGAGTGTAAGTAAAGTTCCGAGGCACCGCCTTATTCTGTCATCAGAATAAGTAGCTTGTACTGTCACCAGTACAAGTTTAAGGTTCCTCGTTACAAATGCGCTTTGCTATTCGACGCGACGTGCGATGCGCGAGCGAGACATGCGTGTTGAAACGGGGCACCCTTAATCTTGTACTGATGACAGTACAAGCTACTTATTTTGATGACTGAATAAGACGGTGCCTCGGAACTTTACTTACACTCGTACGTGCAGAGGAAGACGGTAAGAAGAAGCGAGTACTTGGTTAAAGTAAAAAGTAGAACTGTATTTATCATAGTTAATGTCTGTCAATAAACCACTATTTATCTTCATCTAACTATGTCTAAATACAAATGTGTAAATCAACTATCTGCTCACCACTCATTGCGTGCGTCTGTCGTGGCGCGTTTTTCGTTGGTTGGTATAATGGCCTATATCAACCAATTAGGAACTACTCGTAAGTGCAACAGAATATTTGTCCTTATGACAATATTCTGAGAATGTAACTCTTACAGTTATATTCTATTAACAATTTATTATAAATTGTTATGTAACGATTCACCCCGTTACATCACCCCCCCTTAACCATCAGTCACTTTAGTGACTGATTGACTAATTGGATGCTCGTCTCAAATCATTTGGGACAGGGTTTGCACTTGTTGGTCCGAGTCCACTTTCCAACAGTTCATCGCATGGTTAACAAGCCCATGCGATGCGCGAGCAAGGCCGCCGAAGCAGAAACTGCAGCAACTGATGTCTCATCGGTTGCTGAAGCGAATCAGCCTGTGTCACCTGGTTATGCAGGCGCTGGTCATGAAGACACTCATGTCTTCACAGAGTATGAGCTCGGAGTCTCATGCTCTCCTGATACGGAAGACGGATCCGTATCGACGGCGATCGAATCTAAGCCGCCTGCCAAGCGTGGCATGGATGATGCTATGCGTCGTAGTATCTTTGGTTCGTCTGACGAATCAGACGAACCATCGCCGAAGCGAAGGCGCTCGAGGTCGCGAGACTCGGGCGCTAACAGTGGTGTCGGTTCTCCTATGGACACCACTTCGCAACGAGGTGCCAGTCCTCTTGTCGGCACGTCGCAGGAAGAGCGGGACCGCAGCGTGTTGCGTCTCGCTCCTGAGAAGAAGGCATGGATGCCTCCTAAATCTGTCATGGATCACTTGTCGGCGACGACGAGTGATCGTTATCGAACACGGTTGTTCGATTCGTCAAGGATCCATCACCTTGAACCCAGCGCGGAAAACTATCGCGCTGAGAATGAATTCTTCATCGATGCTTTCTTTAGACATCGATGGTACAGGGGAAATCACAAACGTGATGGTTCCTCATTGCTTCAAGCGTGGAACGCCTACATCCATAACCTTGAGGATGTAGGTCGTGACGCTTGGAACGACAAACTTATCAAAGCTCGTGATAAGTTTGAAAAGCGAACCCCGACAGGTGCACGCTACAAGCTGCATCGTCTGTCAAGGGAGAAAGGATTACCCTGCCTCTCTTGGGGAGACTCGTGCCCATGTTGTGTGAACAACTCTTCACGAGCACCTAAGGAGGCTTACCTCCTTACCAGCCCGTGGTGGCGCGTACGTGTCTCTACTGAGATGTACGAAGGGATTGACAACCTGAAATCCCTTTACGACCGTGCCGGGAAGACTTTCTCCGGCGGTCCTTCTGCTGCACAGGATGTGCCGCGTCGTACTGCTCAACCAGACCCAGTACGTCAACCATCAGTTGGGAGCGGGGCTCCCAAGAATCCCAGGACGGGGGATAGCCGCGCCACCGGACGAGATAACTCGTCCGACGTCCGTTCACGTCGCGGTGGTTCAACAGCTGCTCAACTAGATAGCGCTGGCCACCGCGAGAGTCCTCTAATGGAGGTGGAGGAGGAGGAAAGACGCTCTCCACACGATATCGTGGGGATCCTTGTGTTCCCGAGAGCTTCTTTGATCGCGTAACGCAAGGGTTACGCGACGATCTCGAACATGAGCGGAATAGGCGTCTCCAAATGGCGGACACTGCCTTGAAGCATCGAGCTGAGTTTGCCTTTGCTCAGCTTGATAACGAGAGATCTCTGACATCTCTTCGTGACGAGCTAAGGGTAGCTCGTGGGATTGTTGATCGGTCTCGGGATGAGATAACTGCTCTTCAGACCCTTGTTGATGCCCACCATCGGGAGCACAAGGCTCTCTGCGAGATGCTTGAGCGCAAGGGCGTTCTTCATCGGAAGAAGCAGCATACTGATGGTACGGCTTAAGCCGACCAAATCGGGATGCGTTCGCATCTTACGTGGCAACTCGATCGTGTATGCATTGCCTAGGCGGTGCAATACACGAAATGGGCCGATGTACTTGGGTAGTAGTAAACTACCACCCAAGTTAGTCACTACAAGCTTTGGTAGATTAACCGTAGACAGTAGGACTAAGTCACCTATATTAAATAAAAGAGTGTTTGCCCTTCCATTCTTGTCAGTGTTTTGCTTTTGCTTATCCACCGCTTCGGCGATGGAGTCTTGTACAACACTGCCTTGAAGCATCGAGCTGAGTTTGCCTTTGCTCAGCTTGATAACGAGAGATCTCTGACATCTCTTCGTGACGAGCTAAGGGTAGCTCGTGGGATTGTTGATCGGTCTCGGGATGAGATAACTGCTCTTCAGACCCTTGTTGATGCCCACCATCGGGAGCACAAGGCTCTCTGCGAGATGCTTGAGCGCAAGGGCGTTCTTCATCGGAAGAAGCAGCATACTGATGGTACGGCTTAAGCCGACCAACGTAAAATGTGGGATGCGTTCGCATCTTACGTGGCAACTCGATCGTGTATGCATTGCCTAGGCAGTGCAATACACGAAATGGACCGATGTACTTGGGTAGTAGTAAACTACCACCCAAGCTAGTCACTACATAGCTTTGGTAGATTAACCGTAGACAGTAGGACTAAGTCACCTTTATTAAATAAAAGAGTGTTTGCCCTTCCATTCTTGTCAGCGTTTTGCTTTTGCTTATCCACCGCTTCGGCGATGGAGTCTTGTACAACACTGCCTTGAAGCATCGAGCTGAGTTTGCCTTTGCTCAGCTTGATAACGAGAGATCTCTGACATCTCTTCGTGACGAGCTAAGGGTAGCTCGTGGGATTGTTGATCGGTCTCGGGATGAGATAACTGCTCTTCAGACCCTTGTTGATGCCCACCATCGGGAGCACAAGGCTCTCTGCGAGATGCTTGAGCGCAAGGGCGTTCTTCATCGGAAGAAGCAGCGTACTGATGGTACGGCTTAAGCCGACCAAATCGGGATGCGTTCGCATCTTACGTGGCAACTCGATCGTGTATGCATTGCCTAGGCAGTGCAATACACGAAATGGGCCGATGTACTTGGGTAGTAGTTTACTGCTACCCAAGTTAGTCACTACATGCTTTGGTATATTAACCGTAGACAGTAGGACTAAGTCACCTTTATTAAATAAAAGAGTGTTTGCCCTTCCATTCTTGTCAGCGTTTTGCTTTTGCTCATCCACCGCTTCGGCGATGGAGTCTTGCACAAAACGGACTACCGTTTCACGAGCCAGTACGAACTCATCTGATGACTCGTTCGATTCAGTGTGCTGTGAGCGCACTGCAGCAACGACAGCCTTTTCTTCAGTGAGGGCTTCCGCACTCTCACCGGGATCATTGTCTTTAGTGAGGCTTCCGCACTCTCACTGGCATCATCTTCTTCGATATCGATGTTATCGATATCGGCATCAAACGCAATGACCTCTTCGTCAGAGCGTGAAGAGCGTGAACCAAATCGGTTTTTGCTCGGCGCGAGTCTCTCCCCCCCCTTAAACCAGAGTTACACTCGAGTAAGGTGGGTACACGCGGATGGCGTAAGCCATTCACGTAAAACGGTGTATGTGTCGTGGACGCATGCACCAAGTTGTTGATGGCAAACTCTACCATTGGCAAGAACTCACTCCAACTCTCAAAGGAGTGTACGTATCCTCGTAGAATCTCTTCGAAGACACGATTGGCACGTTCCGTCTGACCATCTGACTCTGGATGATCAGATGTAGACATCTTCAAGCGCGTTCCAAGTGATTTGAACACGGAGCGCCAGAAATCAGCAGTGAAGCGTGGATCTCTGTCTGATACGAGTTCACGGGACAACCCATGAAGTCGGAAGATGGTGTCGATAAAGACACAAGCACAGCCACTTGCCGTGATTGTCTCTGGTACAGCCACAAGGTGTACCATTTTGCTGAATCTGTCAACAAATACGAGAATACCCGTATTCTTGCGTGCGTCTTTGGATAACCCGAAGAAGAAATTCATTGAGGTGGATTCCCAGCACTTAGCCGGAACCGGTAAAGGCTGCAAAGGTGCACGCAGTGAAGGACTTGACTTCACTCGTTGACAGACTTTGCAGGCGTGAACATACTTTTGCACAAACTGATACTGGCGGGGCCAGTAAAAGTCTCGACTAACCGTGATATATTTTTTCTTGCGGCCACGATGTCCTCCTATAGGAGCATCGTAATACTCGAACATGATCCGCAAACGTAGATCAGTATCATCTGGAATGACAACACGTGGTGTGTCACCAGAAACGGCTGTATAATACAGTAACCCGTTGCAAGTAGTGCATCGATCTGATGCAGATCGATACGTAGACGATCACTGTTTCAACGATTCTCGAGATGGTTGAGAGAGATGTGTCAATCGATCTGATGCAGATCGATACGCAGACGATAACTGTTTCAACGATTCTCAAAATGGCTGTGAGAGATGTGTCAACAACTTCACAATCTCACCATCTTGGGCGTATGCCCGCCTCAAATCATCATAAAACGTTGTAGATGGGACTGAGGACGTCATAACCGCAACAGTGACTGTCTCACTGTTAGGGTTTCACGACTGGTTCAAAGTCGGGACGACGTGAGAGTGCATCAGCGACGACATTAAGTCGTCCTGGTTTGTACTCGACCGTAAAGTTGTATTCTGCAAAGAATGACAACCACCGCGCCATTCGTTGTGAAAGGTGCGGGCTGTTTACTGCCGTGCGTGATGACGCATGGTCAGTGTAAACAATGAAGGGTCTATCTCCTAATAGATAGACTCTGAACTTCGCGAGTGCATACTTCATGGCAAGGGGTTCCTTGCCATGCACTGGATAGTTCCGCTCAGCTGGTTGCAGCTGACGCGACTGATAGCAGACGACGCGTTCAACGCCTTCAAGATCGTACTGCATTAATGCACAGCCAATTGCGAAATCGCTGGCATCACAGACCACATGAAATGGCCTGTCCTGATCGGCTATTGCTAGGACTGGGGATTGTATCAAACTCTGCTTGATACCCTCAAAGGAGCGCTGACATTCAGCGTCCCATAACCACCTCTCGTTCTTTTTCAACAAACGAGAGAGGTGCACAGTCATCTCGGCGTAATTGCGTGAATACTTATGCAAATACGCCGCTAGCCCAAGGAATTTTCGAAGACCTTTGACATCGACCGGCACAGGCCAGTCGGTGATCGCCTTGATCTTTTCGGGATCAGGACGTACACCGTTCTTACCAACGATGCACCCAAGAAGTGGTATTTCGCTTGCTGCAAATATACACTTCTTGAGGTTAGCATACAATTGATGCTTTCGCATGATTGTAAGAACTTGTCGGACGTGGTACCTGTGAACCTCAACGTCCGACTTTCCATCCATAGCTCGACTATGGATGAATACGTCATCGAAATAACTCGGCGCGAATTCTCGTACTGGCCTCAACAGATGTGATACACATCTGTTGAACGTGGCAGGGGCATTACTGAGCCCTTGTGGCATTACTAGCCATTCCCAGAGCATGCCGCTGGGCGTGCTCACTGCGGTATAGGATATATCCCGTTCCCGCATCAGGATTTGATAGAAGCCATCCATCAAATCCATGGACGAAAAGATGGTACTCTTTGACATACCATCAATGATTACGTCCTTCCTCGGTATCGGCGTCTGAGCCGGTACCGTTGCAGCGTTCAATTTGTTGAACGCGTGCACTATCCGCCACCCTCCTGTTGCTTTCTGCACACAGAAGGTCGGAGAGCTATGTGGGGAAGTTGATTCCCTCACATGGCCCGCTGCTAAACGATCGGCAAAGAACTTGTCGATCGCAAGTACTTGTTCACGAGGCAGTGGCCACTGCTTCATGACACAGTACTTCGAGCCTGGTTTAAGCTCGACCTCGTGTCGAATACCTTTATCCTTCGGTAATTCGCACGGAACAGTTTCAGGGAATACATCCTTGAATTCAACCAAATCTTCATAGATAGGATTTGTCTTGAGCAATTCCCACGATTGGGAGTCATATCGCTCAATTCGTGTCTTTTCATCTAGGACACTCTCGTCCATAGATGAACTACTGAGAACTCTCTCGTTCTCAGTAAACACTGTTGCTGACCTTATGTCGGCTACACACTCGTCGTCAGCGATGAGTACGCAGATCTGCATGACTTTGCCACTACGCAGATCACGCAAGAGCCTTTTGTGTTCGAGTGTTGGCAACTGAGTGATCTCCGAAGTCAACTTCGGAGGCGCAATCAGATCAAGTGTATAAGCGCCTACACATGGTCCGTTATTGACTATGACATTCAATGTCTCTGTCATTTCCTGGGGACTTATTCCCTCAGGCCTCGAAGGACTTATTCCTTCGGCTTCCCGGGGACTTATTCCCTCGGGTTTCGGGGAACTTACTTCCGCCGTGTTTGTAATATCGGGACTTACTCCCTTTACTTCCTCTAGCTGTGGTTGCGCAACCACAGCGAGATCCTCTTCGAAAGACTCTCCAGTCGATCTAGGGTTATCGTTCCGCTTAACCTGAGCGATCGATTGTTTCTCTTCTAGATGTTCCCCGCTAGGGACACATCTTTGTCCCGGTCCACTCGACTTATTCGAGTGGTGGACCTTCGGCGCAGCCTGTGTTTCCTCACAGCCGCCGGAACTTTGCTCCAAAGTGTAACCGTTTGTTACACTAAGGTTTTGTGCAGTCGTACTAACGACCGTACCACAAATGAGGCCATCGCGCTTACTCGTAGTACAGCCACACGCTTGTGGACGCTCCAAAACGTTCATCAGATGGCCATCTGATGAACAAGCGGCAGGCATCGTTACTGTTCGATGTTGCCAGTTTACCCGTGGTTCGTACCTTCTGAGCCACGGTATTCCAAGGATGACATCAAATTTGTCATCCAAATCCAATACGATAAAGTCATCATCATATTGGGTATCTTCTAGCGTATAGTGGATCTTCACTATACGCTTCATGACGGTTGCGAATGCGCCTGTCGCAAGATGTACCGTCATCCTCGTAGGAGGTGTGTCACATGCACTGAACTTAAAGTGACCATCTTCTAGCGATTGGCGTCGCACAAAAATGTTGGACGCCCCACAATCGACTAGAGCTCGAAGGGACAACTTATTCGTCACTTCGAGTTTCAAGGTAATGAGTGAGATCTCATTACCTAGAGCAGCAACACACAACGTTTGTGTGCTGGGAGCAACCTTCATCAAGAGGCCTACAAATTCTCTTGACGTTGCTGGACCAGTAGGGTGCTCCGCACCTACTGACCCTGTCCGTTTTTTGACGGTCCATCCCGTTGTTGCGTCTTTGCACCAACAGCGGACCCTCGTCCCTGCCCCTTTCTCATGGGTGGACGGTCACTACGCCCAGTGTTGCGACACTGGACGAGGGGCACTACACTCTTAAGCGTAGTGTCCTGTCTTTTGACATCTGTTGCATCTCTGCAACTTCTTGTAGCCTGTAGAGCGAGCCTTCTCGCTCTCTACATAACAGAGTTCCATCGGCTCTGGACCTCCGTTGTCATATCGTCTCGGTTGACGATATGATGTCGAGCTGGCGCGAGCCTGTCTCAGACTGAAGTCTTCCTGCTCCGCAATGGATATGGCTTGTTCTAGTGAATCTAGTTCAAGTCGGAACAGGTGAGTCTTGACGGGACCATCCGCAAGACCCTGCATGAACACCGAAACCAACGTGTGTTCATCCACCGGATTGAGACTTGTACAACTCGTAAGATGTCGTATATGTTGCGCTTAAGCGTGCACATCACGCTTAACTTGTTTGAGCTTCGAGAGTTTAGTTCGAGCTCTGAACTCAGCTCCAGGCGGTTCAAACGTTTGTCTGAGCCGCGACTTGAAGACTTTCAACGACCCAAACGCATATGGGTCGTGCAACTTGAGTCATAGCGCCCAAGTCTTGGCACGTCCTGCCAGATTTGACTGGGCAAATGCAACTTGCATATCCCCGTCTTCGATGCGACGCGCCCTTATGGCGTCATCCAATTCGACGAACCATCTCAAGAGGGAGTCCTCTTCGACTCCCCTATACTTGGAGATGTCAATCTTCAAGGTCTCGGGTCGACACGAGTGCATCGACCCACCAGCAGCAGCCTGCTGCTGTCTCAACAGTTCAAACTGTTGAGCACCCTGTTCTCTCAACAGCTCTGCTTGTTGAGAACCTTGTTGGTGGAGCAAGGCTACTTTCTCGCGTTCAGCGCCAAGTTCATTTTGAATGAACTTGGCGATAGTAGCATGTTGGGCATCTCTATTGAGAGCCTCTAGCATGACGCTAATAGCATGGATGCCCATGGTTGAACCCATCCGTTCAACCGCATCCCATTCAACATCGCTCAAATGAGAGTAGCCGTCACGCGTAGCGTGAAAGCTTTGGTCATCTTCATCATCCAACATATTCATGTTGGATGTGAACGTGGTCCTTGGACGGACTACGAAGTGCTACCAGGTGTAACGGGGCACCCTGAAGCTTGTACTGATGACAGTACAAGCTACTTATTCTGATGACAGAATAAGGCGGTGCCTCGGAACTTCACGTACACTCGTACGTGCAGAGGAAGACGGTAAGAAGAAGCGAGTACTTGGTTAAAGTAAAAAGTAGAACCGCATTTACAATAGTTAATGTCTGCAATAAATCACTATTTATCTTCATCTAACTATGTATAAATACAAATGTGTAAATCAACTATCTGCTCACCACTCAATGCGTGCGTCTGTCGTGGCGCGTCTTCGTTGGTTGATATAATGGCCTATATCAACCGATTAGGAACTACTCGTAAGTGCTCCAGAATATTTGTCCTCATGACAATATTCTGAGAATATAACTCTCATAGTTATATTCTATTAACAATTTCTAGTAAATTGTTATGCAACGATTCACCCCGTTACAGTGGAAGGAATCTTCTGATTTGCGCTTCAAGCTCGCAAAACTATCTGCGCCGGACTACCGACTTACAGGGGGTTTTCCCGATTCTGCGTACGAAGATGACTCACCTTGTGTACCGTTCGGCTTGATGGTCGCACAATTCGGGCGACTCGGATGTGGAGGAAGATGTTTCGATCTTGGCAGAAGTAGACCTGGGCCTTAATTGATTATTTGCTCCACTGGTTGGGCCGGTAGGTGGCCACTCGATCGACTTGTCGGGATTGTAATTACAACCAAATTCTACAAGTAGCTTGTCTTTTCCTGGGATTTCCTTGTTGTCTCAGGGATGATAAGATCCTGGTCTTTACTTGGCTCCCTTGGCTCCCTAGCCGCGTGAGAGAGACCACTTCCGACAGCGGATCTTGAGTGTCAATAAGAATTTTGTCCGGCATGACAATTTTCTACCAATATTATCCGAGATGGATTTTATTGAAGGAATATGTTTCCCTTCCAGGATTATATTCATGCGCTGCTCAACGATTGGTTGATATATGACATATCACCCATAGATTACCACCAATCGCTGCTAGACGTGCGCAATGAGTGGTGAGCAGGTTGTCGTCATACGACGACGTAGTTTAACATAGTTAGATAAAGACTACAGTTAAATTGATTGCTTCACTATGTTAAATACAGTTCTCTTTTACCCTTTACTCAGCTTAGTCGTTGAATGGATTACATTTCTCTGCACGTACTAGTGAACGTGAAGTTTCGTGGCGCCCAAGCAAAGGGTGCCCCGTTACACCTGGTAGCACGTTGTAGTCCTTCCAACGACTACTTAGTGCCCATCCAACATGAACATGTTGGACGTAGAAGACGACAGCTTTCACGTCACACGTGAAGGCTACTCCCATCTGAGTGACTTGAAATGGGAGGTAGTCGGCCGCATGAGTGTGCTCATGGGCGAACCCGCCATCGATGGCATGATGGAGTCTATCAGCAAAGACCAGCAACATGCTACTAAAAATAAGCTCCTACAATGGGAACTCACCGTCGAAATACAGAAGAGAGCCTTGCTACAACAGCAAGGCTCTCATCAATCGTTGGGCAGGCCGACGCACATGCGTCGACCCGAAACCTTAAAGATAGATATCCCAAGGTACAAGAAAACCGATGAAGGTTCTTTTTTGAGATGTTTTGTCGAGTTAGACGACGCCATCAGGGCCCGTCACATCGAGAATGACGCGATGCAAGTCACCTTCGCCCTGTCAAATTTGACAGAACGATCAAAGACTTGGGCCTTAGGGCTGAAGCTTCACGACCCAAACGTGTTTAAGTCGTAGGAGATCTTAGCGTCTTGGCTAAAGAAGACGCTTGAACAGCCGAAAGCCGAGTTGAGAGCACGCTCTGCACTCCTGAGGCTCAAGCAAGGTAAGCGTGATGTGCATGCTTACGCACAACATCTACGCTACCTTGCGAGTAGAGTCGTAAAAAACCCTGTTGATGAGCACAAGCTCACCTACATGTTCTGAGAAGACTTCCAAACGCTGGAAAAGGCGATAGCTTATGTGGAACAAAAAGACTTCAGCCTAAGACAGTCTCAGGCTTACTCGTCCAACTATCGTCCGACGAGACTACAGGAAACAGGAGGTCCCGGACCGATGGATCTCTGTTACATCTAGAGCGAGAAATCTCGCTCTCTGAGTCACAAGCGAACGGTGAGATGTCATCGCTGTGTGAAGCTAGGACACTACGATCATGAGTGTAGTGTCCCAAGCACCGCAACACGTCCAAAGACAGTACGTGATGACCAAGAAAAGGTCCGAGGCGTGGGTCAGATCATGTCGCTAAGCCGCGACAGCAAGTCGGGCCGCCAAAAATGGACACGGTCGGTAGGGGCGGAGCACCCTGCTGATCTAGCAACGTCAAGAGATTTGCAGGACTCTTGACGAAGATTACTCCCAACATACTGTCTCTGTGTGTCACTGTTCTTAGTGATGAGTAGTCCCTCATCACTTTAAAGATCGAAGTGACAAGTGGAATGTCACTTCGCGCCCTAGTTGACTGTGTGGCGTCAAACAGTTTTATTCGACGCCAGTCGCTGGAGGATAGTAGACTCAACTATGTTGAGCGAGTGTTCCCTCCAACGAGGATGATGGTGTGCCTTGCTACATGCGCATCCGTAACAGTGAACAAACGTGTAGTGGGAATTTACTACACGCTAGAAGAAAAGCAGTACGATGATGAATTTATCGTACTGGATTGGACGAAAAATTTGATGTCATCCTTGGTCTGCCATGGCTTAGAAAATAACAGCCATGGGTTAGCTGGCAGCATCGATCCGTGAAGATGCCTGCCGTTTGTTCATCGGATTGCCATCTGATGAACGTCTTGGAGCGTCCACAAGCGTGTGGATGTACTACGAGTGAGTGCGATGGCCTCACTTGTGGTACGGTCGTTAGTACGACAACACAAGATAACAGTGTAGAAGGCCACTACACTGTGGAACCAGTTTCCGGCACCTGTGTAGAGACACAGGTTGTGCCGAAGGTTCATTACTTGAAGAGATCGAGTGGACTGAAACATGGATGCATACCAAGATGGGTGCATCCAAGAAGAGAGATTAGCGTTGTTCAGGGTGAACAACACGTTACAGCAAGATCGACTAACATAGAGTCGATCGTACAGCAAGCCCGATCGATTGAACGAGATTAGATCGAAGAAGAAGTGACTGTGGTAGTGCACCCACAGTCAGTACACGTAATGGAAGAAAGTTCCAGCGTTCCTGAGAGTGATAACTTCCGAGAGAGTTATGTTGAGGGTGTGAATCCCCAATCACCTGTGGGTGTGTTTCCCAGGAAATCACCGAGACCATGAATGTCTTGGTGAATGACGGATCAAGTGTAGGCGCTTATACACTTGATCTGGTTACGCCCCCGAAGTCAGCTTCGGAGGTAGTCAAGTTGCCAAGGGTAGAATCTAAAAGATTCTTGCGAGATCTGCGTAGTGACAAGATCAAGCAGATCTGTGTACTTGTCACAGAGGACGAGTAAGTCGCCGAAATTCGGTCGGCACCAGTGTTTGCTAAGAACGAACGGGTTCTCAGTATCTCAAATATGAACGAGAGTACCCTCGATGAGAAGACTCGGATCGAGCGATACACGTCTCAATCTTGGTAGTATCTGAAGACAAATCCTTTGTATAAGGATTTGGTTGAATTAAGGGAATGTTTTCCTTGAATCTGTGCCATGCGAGTTGCCTGAAGACAAGGCACTCGGCAAGAAATTAAACTGAAACCCGGTTCGAAATACTGTGTCATGAAGCATTGGCCACTGTCTCGTGAACAGGTCACAGCGATCGACAAATTCTTTGCCGATCGCTTAGCGGCTGGTCATGTGAGGGAATCGACTTCCCCGTATAGCTCTCCGACCTTCTGTGTGCGAACAGCAACAGGAGGGTAGCGGATTGTGCATGCATTTAACAAGTTGAATGTTGAAACGGTACCGGCTCAGAAGCCGATACCAAGGAAGGACGTCATCATAAATGGTATGGCAAAGAGTACCATCTTTTCGTCCACGGATCTGATGGATCGATTCGATCAGATCCTAATGCGTGAACGGGACATCTCGTACACAGCAGTGAGCACCCCCAGTGGTATGCTCTGGGAGTGGCTAGTGATGCCACAGGGGCTAAGTAACGCCCCTGCAACGTTCAACAGATGTGTTACGAACCTGTTGCGATCGGTGCGCGATTTCGCACCGAGTTACTTTGACGATGTCTTTGTACATAGCCGGACTATGGATGGAAAGACGGACGTGGAGGTTCATAGAATCCAAGTCCGAAGGGTTCTTACACTTATGCGTGAGCACAAGTTTTTTGCGAACCTCAATAAGTGTTTATTCGCAGCGAACGAAATACCACTTCTTGGCTGCATCGTGGGTAAAAACAGTTTGCGCACTGATCCGTAAAAGATCAAGGCTTTTAGCGACTGTCCCATGCCAGTCGACGTCAAGGGACTTTGAAAGTTCCTTGGCTTGGCGGCGTACTTGCACAAGTACTCGCGCAGCTACGCCAAGATGACCGTACATCTCTCTTGTCTGCTAAAGAAAAACGAGAGGTGGTCATGGGGCGCTGAGTGTCAGCACTCATTTGAAGGCATCAAGAAAAGCTTGATACAATTGCCTGTGTTGGCGATTGCAGACCAGGACAGACCATTCCACGTGGTCTGTGACGCCAGCGATTTGCGATCGGCTGTGCGCTAATGCAGTACGACTCAGACGACTTTGAGCGCGTCGTCTGTTATCAATCGCGTCAGCTGCAAGAAGCCGGGCGTAATTACCCGGTGCATGACAAAGAACTCCTTGCCATGCAATATGCACTGGCTAAGTTTCGGGTATATCTCTTACGAGATAGGCCCTTCATCGTTTATACCGACCACGCGTCGTTACGCACGGCCGTAAACAGTCTACACCTCTCGCAACGAATGGCAAGGTGACTGTCTTTTTTCGCGGAGTACAACTTATCCGTCTAGTACAAA